TCTCATACCTTAAACTCGTTTTGAAGCCGATTGAGACGATAGAAGTTCTCATCTTTGAAGAAATAAACGGCGTTTTTGATGGTCAGTACGGCATTGATATTGTCGGGTATTCTGGGAAACCGGGAGCGTATGGGTTTGGGCGCCTCATCCTTATCAATGCTGTCCACCACATTGTGCTCCTCGTCCACGATATACGTCCAGTACTGACCACCTGTCCATTAATTATGTATATATAGAATATTCTGCACAGAATTTAGAGGGGATTTTTGGGTTACCTTTAAATGCATATATGACTCCATCAACACAAATAGCGGTGTCTACCTTAGGGGGCAGGGTATTAAATATCTCGCGACATGGTTTAGGGTAACCATCCACTAGTTTTTGGCCCTCGTATTTGAAACATTCCTCACCCTACAAATTGCATCAAGCATAAAATTATAAAATATTTAAATATCTAATTGACAATAATTAACAGAATAAGTGCCTGATCCATTATAGTAATCAAATAGCTACATTATGATTAGATAATTTAAACAATTAACAATTTTTATAAAATAACCAAGTCTTATAGAAGAATATAAATTTTAAATTAGCTAACCTTGAACACAAAAGTACTAGAGTCGGGTAACTCAATGATGGCGTCAATATCACCCTCAATAGCTGAGAATAAGCCAACAATGGGTTTCGGAAACTCGGAGTCAACAGTCATTTCATCGGAATTTATTTTCCAGTAGTGTTTGCCTACAAATAGAGTAATCGTAATAACACTACAATACTTGGCCACTGGTCAGCCTACCTTTAAACACAAACATAGCGTTAGTATTGTTTCGTTTAAACATTGCGCTAATGGAGGCGTTATTGCAAATGTTGGGCACCTCTGGAACACCCTGTCGGGCGCCGTATAGTATATGCGCGGCCCGGATGTCGTCCTGATCCAGTTTCCATTCGGACCGGTAGGGCGGGTATACCGGGTTCATGAGGGAGTCCGTCACGTCCGAGTGGTCCAGACCTAGCGAGTGACCCAACTCGTGAATAGCCGTCACCAATATGTTTGAACCTTAAGAAAATTGTCTAGTTATAATTAAAATTAATTTGTCCTGCTATAATATCAAAATTAGTGTAAGAATATAGTACTTATAAATTAAATACTTAAATTAAAAATATAAAGGTATATATGATTGATATCCCACTATTTATTAAACTACTATTTTAGAAACAATAGTAAAGTTTTAATTTAATATACAGTTTAAAGCTTAAACTGTTTATCTGTGTTGGGAAAATAAACATAATAATAGTACGTATTGTGTAATATATTATATTGAAATATTGTCAAAATAGTATCCAATCATTTTTAAAATAAAAATTATTATAAATAATTTTTTTATAATGTTTACTAACTGTCACTATGATTATAAATACAATGTTACACTGAAAATATTCATAAAACGACAAATTAACATTGGTGAAAAGGATCACATTTATCAGTTATTTTGTTAAACAGGACAAACCCTTCTCCGAGTCGACTGTCCATTCTTCGTCGTCGTCAAAGTGGGCGTCACCACCGTATTGGGGAAAGTATGAGTGGGCCAACACTTTGCCCGCCCCGTCCAGGGCATCGCCATCTCCGTGTTCACCCCTTTCCCATCGGATGTCTATAATGACTTCACTGGAGGGCGTTTTGGCGGGCAATCGGGTGAATGTAAGCGGCGTTACGTCGGACCACACTTTGAATGCTTTGGCGATTTGGGCGTCGATTAGGTGTCGGTCGGCGACGGACCGGAATTTTGTCGGATATTTTGTAATCTTATACGTGATGTTAGTGACTGTCCAACGGCTACCTGTCCACCACATAAGCACCGATATTGTTATTAGATAGTTGGCAAAAGTAAATAAAATACAATTATAATTATCATACTCTGTATTATGGGGAATTTCGTTTTTAATTTTTAAAAAATTGTTTCCTGCTAACTCTTTAAACCACTGTCTTAATTCATTATTGATTTTAAATAATTTTAATGTTTTATTAAATATATATTACAGGTTGCTTTCTTATTTATATCTATAAATTATATATTGAAATTGATTTTATAATGTATAAGCAATTATTTAGCATTATCAAATGAATAATAATAATACTTATTCTTACAAATATTACTAACGACTTGCTAATATTTTAATATCAACAAAGTTACCTTTATAATATCTAAAACTATATATTATTTTAACAAATTGATAAATTAATGTACTGGCACAGAAGTTATGAGACCAAATACCATATAACCGAGTTAATGCCGGTATTATAGATTAAACAATTAACTCAATTATTTTTTCGTCAAGTAGTATATATCTCTGTTGATATAATAAAAAGTACTTTTCATAAAATCATTAATATTTTAATCTTCTGAGTAATACCTATGGAAAAGCTTACGGAAACACAAAATAGTATGAATTTCAAAATGTACTTTACGTATTATCAGGTCTCATATTTATAAAATATAATAATCTTAATTTTATGATTATTTCAAAACCATAAATATAAAATAAATTAATAAACTAACCTGCTAGCGTATGTCTTTTTGATCTACTTTTATTTTTGCGGTTTCTTAAAGTACGATTTTTAATTTCACCAAGTGAATCCAGTCCAACACCAATATAGTACTTGATCTTAGCCTTTAATGTAATATAATTAGGATCCTCACGTTGTTCACCCATATCTTTACCCCCGCACCGGGGTTTGTTCATTTTTAATAGGGTAGCCTTATCTGCCCTAGCTTTTAACCATATATAGACATTAATATAAGGTACCTGACTTTTTGTCCCAACTAGAGTTGCCAACTAATTTCATGGATCGGAAGGATATTTTAAATAATTAACATTGTCACCACCAGGTTACGCCGTAATTTAAACCCAATTATAATCCCGGTTCATATCACTACTTGTCATTCTCCTAATAATTGTTTCATAAAAATGTCTAAATAGCTTCTACACACACACAATTTATTTAATAATAAAATTATTAAATGATTTAACTATATGCCACTTATAATATTTTGTAAGAAATTAATTAAAATTTAATACATTATTATATTTGATTAAAAGTAAAGGAGCTATATCTCGCTTTATTTGAGTCTAGGTCTATTTGGGCTTAAAATCAAACCCATCTGACACATTTTCTCTTTTTTGTATTTTTTTGTAAAATTAAATATGAAAAACTCTATATTTAATTCAACTTATATAATATATTAGGTCAATTATTAATTGTTTATATTATGATGTTCAATGTTATTTCATAGTTATTTTAACCTAGTACTGTAAAACGTAAGTTATTTCATTGATTACGCTACATAATAAATGTGAATACTGTAGTTTCTTAATTAACTTATCAAAGTGTATCAAATAAATACATCTAAAAAGTAAATTACAAATTAAAACATACAGGGTCCTACAGTATATTAATGTTAATAATAAAGGGTCATTCAAAAGGGTACGTACCGCAATGCTGGCCAATTTGTCTGTCACCGGTCTATCGTTGTCGCCGTAATATATATTAAGTTTTTTTAATTGCTCAATTACGCTTAGCATGATTGAGGGCCGACGTGTGGTGGTGGTGGACACCATAGCACCCGTACTCCCAGTATCTACCGGTTCCACACTCGACACCTGTGTTTTATTGCAAGCATCAGGGTCTATTTCATCGCATTCCGTGGTGCCCATCTCGTCAAAGTCCTCGCCCTCCGTCACCGCACCGGCCCCTCCAGGTTCACCAGTTGGTTGGGCACCTTTACCCCTTGTGCGCCAGAAATTGATCTTTCTAAAAAAGTTTGAGATCCATGAGCCCCGTGTTGCTTTAGTTGTATTTTGGGCACTGGTATCACTAGCCTGTAGAAAGGCATCAGTATCCTGACAACTATCGGCCTCTATATCATTGACTGAACATTCTTTAGGTGGTGTTCTCGTTACCTCCAGTTCCTCATTATCACTGTAAGCACGGGTAGTTCGTACCGATCGGGTGTCGATTGGTATACCATTTATTATTAGTACTAAAAATATAGCGATTATTTTCATTAGTGTTTTGTTTTAGTGCGAAAACACATTGAAATTTATTTTCATTTTTATTTGAATTTTAATAACAAGTTTTGTACAGTATATGAAAAATATTTAATTAATTTTTTAATTACTTTATAATTAATATAAATACAGTATTTATTACATTCCTGTAGACATTTAATAATTAATCATTACTAGCAAACTGTATAAAAATTTAGTTTTAACAAATAGGATAATATTATCTTTGGTTAAATAACTATTGGTACCCGGCAAACACTCAAAAATTTATTTTATTTTCTACTTTATAATTATGTCAAGTTAATTTAATAAAACTTTTACTACAGTACAAACTTAATGCATTTGAACATGTACTAATATTTATTTCAAATGTTTGTTATAACTCCTGATTTAATTAAACTAGTAATAATTTAAACATAGATTAAAATTAGACGTACTTGATACATCTGCTTTTTCTCACGTAAGCTTAGATCTTAAGTGAGATTTTTCAAGAGCAATATTTTCAAGTGTATTTCACCAAGGTACATAATGTTATTTTCTACCATACCTGTGAATAATTCAAAATTTAACAATCACTAACATTATACTGTACATAATTTTAGTTAAATTGTTATCTCAATTAAATTTAATAAAATTAATTAAATAATTACTTTAATATAACTTTTAAATATTTCTATTTTATACATTTTAAAAGTTAAAACTTTTTACATGTGAGCAAAAATATTTTTACATTAAAATTTATCAATTGCTAAGCAATATATCAATGTACTTTATTAACCTAATAAGTATATCATGTCATAAGTACCATCATGCCATTGCATAGATCCTTTTAAAATTACGTTGATCATATGAAATTGTGGGAACAAAAACACCTGGAACACTATAATAAACTTATATATTAATTGAAAATATATTAGTTTTATAAACGAGTAGGCTAAATTTTAGTGATTTACTACCTAATTAGTTTTATTTTAGTCTATAAGATTCAACATTATTTTGTAATTAAAATGTGGTCTATGTTAACAATCACGCTGGTAACTTATGTAGTGACCATGACACAATTAAATGATGTTAACTGCATCACGGAAGCGGTAATTATATTACACATTAAAGTTATAATTTAAAAACTAGCAAATATAATTTAATTATAATGACCTTATATTTTGTTTCCAGGGTCAACATATACTGGACAGAATAAATCAAGCTAGGCTAGATAAGAACTACACTTTAAATCGCTATTTCAACTTTGACCCGGTTAAAAGCGCCCAAAATATCACCACGCTCATAAATGAGTTTATCGCGGCTACCGATCACTTTGAAACAAATAAATGCCTATCTGTGGAGGAAAAGGACATGGGTGTCAGTAATTGCTACGACGTGGTTGTAGATAAAATGACGATTGACCTTGGTGATATGTTTAAATCTTATTTTGTGGCAATTGGCGAAAAGGCCTTTTATACGGTTAATTATAAATGGACGTCTGGTACGTATTATGAGTTTTTTGTGGGACCATTGATTTTTAGTGTACTTGGTCAAGCTGCATAAATTATAAAATATTTGAAAATATAAATAAATAAATAACATTGTTAAAATAAAAGTACTAAAAATGTGTAATTCTAATTTTACATAAATTAATTTATATGATGCAGCGTTATTAAAATAATTAACCTATGGCAATTTTTAATAATGAAAGTAAGTTGTTAACGTTTCATAGCTTATGTGTATTATATTTTTATTATTTACAATAAAATAGTCTTGGTTATAAAATTTTATGTGCTGTGGAATTAAGTAATGAGTGGATATTTTGTGGCTCTGGTAACCCAGTTATTAAAGGTGTCGGTGCTGTTCATGAAAGTTGTATTTTTTGTTATCCAATGTTGTTATTGCGTAGATAAACCTTTACTACAAACTCAATGCATTTGAAATAACATTTATATAAATTTTTAAAAATAACTCTCGAGTTAACTAAAGTATAATTAAAAACTAGATTAGATTTTGGACGGTCTTAGTACATCTGTTATTTCTCAAGTAGAATGCATAATAATATTTCTTACTTGTTAGTGCATTTTAATAAGTTACATATTGTTTTTTATTTGGAAAATAATTAATTGATCCCTAATAAAGCTAGATTAATTAAAATTATTTAATAATCACATATATATGATAAATAATTGTAGCAAAACATAATTTTAAGTATTTTTCCATTCAAACTGTATAATAACATAATCATTATATTAGTAGTATTAAATATGATATATGATACTATTAATACAATTATTATGTTATGTATACAGTTTACATTGAAAAACATAAAACATATACCGCTTATCTGCACGTAGACGATCAATTGATCCACTGGGTGCTTAAAAGGGTTATATATTTTTTAATGCAAACTGTATACATAACATAATCATTGAATTTATCAAAGTAATAAACAATATTAGATACTATCAATGCTATGATTATGTTATACAGCTTGCATTAAAAAATATATAACCCTTTTAAACACCCAGTGGATCAATTGATAAGCAATACTGTACTGTACATAACATAATAAATGTATTACACTTTACTTACATAATAAATGTATTAAATGTGTACTGTATGTCAATATACTTTATTAAGACTATAAGTATGTCATAAGTACAGTACTTTAAGTATAAATCCTTTTTAAAAATACCATTGTTCATATGAGAGTGAGGGAATAAAACATTGGGCACACTATGATAAACTTATTATACTGTATATTAACTGCAAACACAGTAGTTTTAAAAATTATAACCGATTAAGTTGAATTTTATTTTATAAGGTCCATCATTAATAAGTAACAATAATGTGGTCAATGTTAATAATCACACTGGCAACTTATGTAGTTACCATGGCGCAATTAAATAATGTCAATGCTGGTAACATGACAGAAACTGTAATAATATATTCAAATATAAAAATTAACAAGTATAATCTAATTATAATAACCTTATATTTTGTTCCCAGGGTAAACATATAATGGCCAGAATTACTGAAGCTCGTAACGCAAATAGAGCATACACGCTAAATCGCTATTTCAACTTTGACCCGGTTAAAGGAGCTCCAAATATTACCATACTCATTAATGAGTTTATCGCGGCTACCGATCATTTTGAAACTAATAAATGCCTTTCGGTCGATGAAAAGGACATGGGTTACAACAACTGCTACGACGTAATTGCCGATAAATTGTCGGTTGAGCTTGGTGGCATGTTCAAATCAAATTTTGTCCTAGTTGGCGAAAAGGCTTTTTATACAATGAGCTATAAATGGACAGCCGGTACATATTTCGAGTTTTTTATTGGGCCATTAATCTTTGGTGTGCTAGGTCAAACTGTATAAGTACTGTATAACACTACGATGCGCACACATTGTAATCCGGGCCACATTACATGTGACAAAACAGTGAATATTATAACATTAGTCAGTATAGAGATTAATGTTAAAATGTTTAAAGTTTTGTCACTCATAGTGTGGCTCCAGTGTGCATCCAGGTTATACTATAACCTACTTACAAATTAATATAAATAAATGAACAATCTTTATTTTTTTTAAATAATCAAAATATGTAATTCCAATTTTATTGAAAATAATTATTTTGTTTTAATTATGGTCAAATAAATTTTATTTTTTGATAACTAATTGCTTGTATTGTATTGAATAATATAATAGATTTTATTTATTTAATAACTAATAATAATTTTGAATTAGAGTAAGTTGTTAAAATTTATGACATAAACTTTATGATTATTATATTTATATAATTTACAAATGAATAATCTTGGTTATAAAATACTATTTGCTGTTGAGTTGATAGACACGTTTGTGGCATTAATAACCCAGTTATAAAATGTGCCGGTGCTGTTTGTGAAAGTTGTATTAATTTTGTTGTTATCCAATGGTGTCATTGCGTAGACACATGTTTTATAAATAACTAAAAATAGATTAAATAATTATTTTTGATAACATAATTAATTTTTAAAATATATACTTGCAATCAATACTGACATCACGATAATATTAAATATTATATACAATGTTTGCCTTAATATTACAGATTTTATACGCATAATAAAAGTAATTATAGTAATTTAATTTGATTAAAATTTAATTTTGCCATTTAAAATAACAATGCTTAAATTAATGCATTTAATTTCCTCTTTGCCGATGTAATTAGTTTTTAAAACTTAACCCACATATGGATATAAACTCATTTCCGACTAAATATACCCTTTTACATTTACTACAAAATAATTATTACACAATATTGTTGTTAGTTTCCGTTGATTAATTAAACAAATAAAATCTATTTCCCTTGTTGATCTTATCATGATTATCAAAGTTAAACATATTGCATTTAATTAATATAATTATTAAATGTTATAATGTATTTTAAAGTATAAGTTATATAAAATATCAAATTTTAATTATTAATTAAATTGTCATAATTATTATTTTTATTTTTATAATACTGATTATATGAAATAATTTAGTAGTATACTAAATAGTATATTTATCTAAACTTTATGCTTAGAAATATTTATTTAATTTCATATTTGTTTCAAAAAATATTAATATAGTATTTTCTCATAAGAATTAAAATGTTATATTTCTAAAACTACAGGTGCTTGTATATCTCATTTATAAATATAAGCTTCATCATTTAATCATTATAAAAACGTTATTTATAATAAATTGTCGACCTCTTCCCACTTTAAAAACTTATATTAATAATTAAAAATATTAATAAATACTGATTATTATTTTACAGTTTGAATGCTATTAATTAAAATTATATCAACAAAAGCTAAAAACAAAGCAAATTAAAATTTATTTAAAATTGCCCTTACTAAAACTTATTTTTAATAATAATAACAATCATTAAATATTGTGTTATATTAGTAATATAATGTAATCTATTTTTTTTGAATTATTATTGACTTTATGATTTTATTTTAGTAGTTAATTTATTTAACGTTAATCTTATATTATTATTTATTAAAATATATTCTGGCAAATAATGTATATAATAAAAATAATATTATAATTATATTAAAATTATGTAAAAATTAGTAAAATCTCAAAAAGTAATATAACATCACAATTATTTAGTTTATTAATATTTAAGTCATAGACATAACTATGTAATCATAGTAAAAGTACAACAAAAACACAATTCTTATAAAAAATAAAACAAAACAAAAATACAATTTATTTAAAGCTCAGAAAAATCCGCCGATAGTCGACACAAACGCCGCCCTATTGTCCGCCTGTTTCACACGACTCTGTCCGTCAACACTCACCATATTATCCGACGCTTTAGTATTCAAGTTATAAATGAACACATTTTTCGGGGACTTCTCGATGGACACCATACTGTCCTGACAGTGCTCTACCTTAAGGCAACCCTGGTCATAGTTCTGGAAAAAGTTATACAGCCCGGCCCCATACACGTACACGTGCTCCGAGTTGAAAATCCTGAGACCCCATCCCATGGGACAGGTAACCGACCCCTTCTCGCAGTGACTAAAGTCCGGGTCCGACCACTTGGGTAGGGGTGTGAAGGGTTGTGGGGCGGGCGGATAGGCCTGATAGTAGGCCGTCTCGGTCTGTATGGTACCCATCATTACGTTCTTAGCGTTGGCTATACTGTACTGATAGAAGACGGAGTGCTCGCTAGACGTCCCGTACAGCCATACCGGACCCTCCGTCGACTCGATATGAATACCCCTCCCGTTAAATATGGATATCTGTGAGGGGCCATCGATGTCATGGTCGGCCACCCAGGCCCACACGTTGTCTAATAGGGCTGAGCCTGTAGGTGCGATATGTAGCATCATAAAAGCACCCATGCACTCCGGCTTAGCCGCCACCCCCTTTTTGCAGGTATCGGTCTGTAATTTAGTGCCCTTAGCGCCGCCTACTCTGAAGTGCACGTCCCATAGGCCGACCCCTCCCTGAACCGACTCTTTAAGGTTGATCTGAAGTATGATAGCCCCGGGAACGGGACCTAAGGTCGTGAACATCATTTCCGATATCTCGGCGATACCCTTATCCCCGGGATTGCCTATTTTGAACACAGGTATGGGTTCGTTGGCGTTGGCAAACTTGGCACCGGTAGCCATAATCGTGGACCATATCTCGCCGATAATACGGGAGCCCTCGGGCACCAACACCGTGTCGCTGACCACGTAGTCACCCGCCGGGAAGTATATAACCTTACAGCCCGCCCACTTGCTCAGGGTCTCTTGGATAGCCTTGGTATCATCGGTACTACCGTCCCCTTTGGCACCTTCAGCCTTCACGCTAATAAAGTCAGCCATAGCTACGTCTGTGTACTGAGGCTTTGGTCTCTCGAAAAATCGTTTATTACTGTCCAATAGGACCGCCGGTTTTGGGGGCACCGGTAGGTTAGCCTCCTTGTAGGCACCCTTACCCTGGGTGTCGTAGAACCGGCCCATACCCCACGAGTCGATGGTTTTAGTGCCTCCCTCTAGGACTGTGGACCCGTCAGGCCTGGCTACCGCTTTTTGTACATTGCTCAGTTTTATGTTGTCGAGCACCAGGGCACCCGACACGGGTTTGGAGGTGGCGTTACGTATGGTCAGTATACCGATGGGAGTGTTGGTTATCTCGGAGTCCATGACTAGTAGCGAGTCGGTTAAGATCTCCTTGGTGGTCCCATCGATGTTGGTTATGTCGATAGCTGTAGTAGTAGATGATAATGGCAAGGTTATTTTATAATATATTTAATAAAGTTATAAAAATTAACTGAGTAGCTAACTCACTGACCAAATTTAAGTTAAATGTAGATTTTAAAATTAAATAAACTTATTAAAAATATTATGTTACAGTTTGCCAGCATTTTAATTCTTGCACTTTTCACAATTCTATGCAAATTGGCTAACACTGTTTTAGATACAGTATTCTATAGATACAATAATAATTATTGTACTAAACAAGTCCTTGTAAACAATTACTTAAGATTTTCGTTTCTAACTTCTATAAGTTTGTGATCATAACATTTTCTGATTTAATAGTACAATATATAAAATTGTTAATTTATCAAGATTATATTAGGAATTAAGAATAGAATATTCATTTAAACATGAGCCAGGCACCAATAGTGTTTGTCTGTAAATGACTTCTAGCCACTAATACTGTATTATTAAATGTCAAATAAATGTTTGTTATGAAATTTTCAGTCATGAATGTTTATAAATTATAATTCAGTATTAATGACTCAGGATAAATTACAGTCAAAAATATTTGTTCCTATTGAACTAAACCAATAATAACATATTGAATATAAACTATTAAATCTATGATAGCTACTAACCTGTTTTACAGTTTTCAATCTTAATGCCCTTAAACGTCCATGACCATACCCAGGTCAACCAAATAGCCGTATTTGCATTACGAATGGTAATATTGCGCGAGGTGAACTGCTGATTGCCTATCCACATACCAATATTACCACCATCAAACGTCAAGTCGCTCATATAGCCACCACTGCCATCGTTCATCCAGAGACCCTGATGCTTATTACCGGGTGCCGTGCTCATTTTAACATGCACATTCGTAATACTAGTAGCCTGGGCCACCTGCCAGAAAATAGCCGTCGCCTCCTTGTCCGGCGGGGCTCGGGTCAGGTCTATAACAAAGTTACGGATCTGACGGTAGAAGTTGTTTTGCTGGACCCACACCGGTATGTCGCCCGACACGTACTTATTGGACGCTATGAGTGCGCTGGCGTTGATGCCCGTGAACTTGGGGTCCATGATTAGCACCGGGAGGTCAATGGCATCGCCAATGAACTGAGTGAAGTAGAACTGGAGTAGGGTTTGGGAGATGAGGTACTTTCCGGGCGGGAAGTACACGATGGCCGGCGCTATGGTGCTGGACGGGCACGTTATGCCGCACCTGTCGCCCTCACTAATAGCCAGGTTGATGGCCAGGGAGTCGTCGGTGACGCCGTCCCCCTTAGCGCCGTAGTCCTTGACGTTACGGAACACCTTATAACTACCAGGGTTGTTGTTAAATGGAGCTAGCTCCTCGTGTTTAAGCACCCGGAGCCAGTGGTCCTTTTGGGGGCTGTGGGGTAGGTCTTTGCCACCGCATTGGGTGCCGAGAGTGTGGGCGTGTGGGCACAGGTAGGCCACGAACGCTAAGGCGAGTAACTCTTGAAACATGTCTACAGTTTTGAGTCAAAACTCTTTGATATGTTTTAAGACTTTAGAAAAAAGGGTTGAGTTGTGGCCTGTTTGGGACAGGTATGCGGTTTATATGTGTAACTGGTATCTACCTGTGCCATGACTACTGGCGCAGAATATCTATAGACACCTGCCGTGAGGTGAGTGTCGGGATAAGTATTTTGTTATTAATTTCTTGAAAAGTTATTGTTTTAAGAGATTGTGAAGTGATGTGAAGTGCTATTAGTTACTAATCTCTGCGTGTATTATAGATAACTGTCCACAATGTGTACATTTGGGACATGTACTCTAGGATTTGCAATCATATTATAAGTGTAATACTGTGGTGTAGTGCATTTGGCATACGTGCCAGATTGATTAAGTTATCTACTGTAGATTAGAAATGTGAAGGTAGGGGGTTAATTTTATATTGAAATTACTATTGAAATTCTATTTAATTTTTCTAATAAGTTATTATAATATAATAGCTTATACTAACCTGTATAATAGCTTTATTATAGCCTGGCTAATTAAGAATAATAGAAACTAAATTACTAGTTTATATTTTGAGTAAGATAATTTTGTAAAGTTAATTTGATTAAAAAAATAAATGTAAAATATATTTTGAAATTCTGATGGATTCCAATATTTAAAAATTTAGCATACAACCTTATTAAAATAATTATTTGTTTATATTTTACAGTTACCTGCGTTCACAATTAAATTTATAAATGATGTTTCACATAAAATTTTCTGGCACAGTTAATTTCTTAAATTTAAAACGCCTTGTATCGTTTATCACTAAAACTATTTGTGCCTGCTCATAATGTTATCACAATATGATAAATCTTTCGTATTGAAAAATATATATTTAGCAATCACGAATATTAGTATAATAAAATTGATAGTTCACTTATTTATTAAATTATTATCTATAAAATTCCGATATATTTCCTTGATCACATGTTTAAAATTTACTAGGATTTAATTGTGAACTATTTATATGCTTTACGTTATACTTTACATTTTAATTTAGATAAATAATAATTATTATTATTACGAAAAAATCTGTTTTTAAGAAATATAATATAATATAATATGTTATGCCATATAACTATAATAATTATTCAGTCTATTTAATTTAACATGACAATGATAATATTTATTAGATATAAAATATATAGATTTTTAAGCTGTAAAAATTAATCATTTTTATATTTATATCCTAACTTTATTTACAAATATATAATGTTTGTTAGTCTAATATCGAGACTCAATATTTCTTAACTGTAATATTTTTATCATAAAATTATAATTTATAATTAATTATAAAATATATTTAAATTAAAATATGTTTGTATTTTTATTTATAATATAATCGCTCAAAGGTTATATTTTAGTAGTATTGTAATATTATATATAACATTTATATTGCAATTTTGTATATATAATTAAAAGTTCTATAAATAATATTATATCATTTATAAAATTTATTTTTATAATTTTTTCTTTATTGAATTAATATTTAAATGTAAATGTTAGGTGAGCATTTTATCAAAACCTTTTTCGTTAATGCCTTAAAATTTTATTTTTAATAAATGTATAATATTTTTATTGGATTATATTTGTTTAAATAGTGTTATTAAAAGTAATCGCAAAAGCATTTTAATTTAATTAAATAAAATTTTTTA